CAAGCTGGGAAAGCAAGTTTTCTAGAAAGGACTAACTTATGTGAAATTACCAAATATAAGGAGAATGTTTAAAAGATGTTGGACAGCCACTAATATGACGTACAACAGGGATACAAAAAAATGCCTATAATGGGGCTATTCAGAAAACTTGTGTTCAGGCCTCCTCTGTTTTCTTTTGTACTCTCTTCCTTTAAGAGCTCCTAACTCTTACAGGCTCTAACTCAATCATTATCTTACGTAATTTCGAGATAGGAGGTGCTCAGTTTCCAGTGAGTCTGGGTCCCAGGCCTCACCCCTGAGTTTCAAACCACTCCCCTAGGTTTCAGGCACTCCTTTCTGGCCTTGAGTTACTGTTGAATGTTGCACCTATTTTCAAGCACAACAGGGGAAGATTGAGACTGCAAGAAGGAAGTTTGAGCAATTTCAGTGGTCAAGCATGCTCAGTAAAAAGGAGTTTGTCCTTGAATGACCTTCCACTGAAGGCACTAGAAAGCATCTAGTATATTTTAAAATATACTTGGTGTACATGATAGAATTTTACTATTGAGCATGCTCCAAAAGAAACAAACATAGCATGTGAAAGGCTAGCGTTTACATAAGAGTTATAAGACTGGGAACCACCGCCATAGCTGAATATTCATAGATAGCATGAATATGTATAGAGAGCCAGCTATAAAAGTTTGAAGCCAGGATAAAGCAAAGTTGCTGCTCACTCTCCAGCCAGTCTAGACTTTGCCTGTGAAGCATGAATTTCTTATTCTTTACATTAAACCTGTTTTCACTTTCTACTCTGACTCTGCTCTTGCTTTCCTTCAGAGGAGTCAAGACCCTGGTAGAGGACAGGGTTGATGTCAGCTATCCCACCTCCCCAGACCTTCTCTTCCAATAACAATTTGATCTAACCTTGAACTATCAATTCATTGAATTCTAGACACAAGGGTATTCTGGCTGTTGTACAGTTCCCATGAACTGCTCCATCCTCACCTCAAATTCAGTCCACCTAAATCCTAGCACTTCACCCCTCTGCCCTCTCCAGACACCCTGAAGAGGTAGACTTATTTTCCTTCAAGTATCATCTTGCTGTTTCAAGGTATTTTTAAGAGTCCTCTCTCTTTCCTCTTTATTGTATTTCATATCTAAGTTCAGAAGAACCCCCTTACCTATCTCTCTCATTCATTTCTTCCTTTCCGGTCTCATAACTGTTACCCTTTTGCAGATTTATGTTTGAGCATCTGCACCATGGCCAGTCTCTGGTGTTCCTAACTCTGGTTTCTCCTCCTTTCAATTCATTCTGCAATGCATGCCTGGTGATTTTCCGTTTTCTGTTTTTAAACAGACAGAACTTCATTCCTGTCCCCTACACACCTGTCTTCTCACCTACGCTCACTTCCAGGAGGCTGGTCATCTGCCCCAGCCAGTGCTCTACTGTGGCTCTTTAAATGCCTCAGTCTCTCAGACTTTGCTTATAATATTCTTCTAGCAGGGATCACCCTTCCCCAAAACTTGGCTAAGTCTTAACATCCCTTCATATTGCAGCTCAAGCCCATACCCTCCTGAAGGCTCCTCCAGATGGCTCACTTTGTAAGTTTGTAGACCTTGGCATGGCCACCTCCCATTCACACCCGGCACAGCTACTTTTTATAGTTTTCTTTCATGAAAATTAAAGTTCTTTTGTTCCACAAGTCTATGACACTGATTTCAGGATAAATATCGTATCTGGATCCCTAATTCCTAGTACAGAGCCTCGCACAGAATTGGAAGTCAGTGTTGGTTGAATGAAGCAATGAATTAAATAATGAATTAATGAATGTCTGCTCTGGTGCTGAAACTCAGAGCTGTGAGAAAAGTCCCTACGCCTAAGCAACTTGGAAGAGGTAGGCCTTTCCAGATCCATGGAAGTCCTGAGTCAAGGAGAAAACCAAATGCGGGTGTGGCAGTTTCAGCTGAGACCAGTGGTAGGCTTTTACCTCTATGCCGGATTTCACAATCCGAAGGGGTGAAAATATTTTTTGTCTGTGTTAGACTGTGCAGGGTTGGGTAGAATTCTCCAGCCTTAGGATAGTGGTGGTCCCCGTCACTGGTCTCCACATGGCGCCATCCCAGGCAAGACCAGAAAGAGCTTGTATACTGAATTCCAGTAATATTGTTTGGAAATGGGCCAAAACGACGTCGGGGTTGTGTTGACTTCCAACGCTTAAATAAGCTGGTAAAAGCCCAGCGAAAATTTTCCTTTTCTACGAAAAAAAGAAACAGGCACTATATGCAGCTTGTGGCCCTATAGCTCGGGGGTTAGAGCCCTGGTCTTGTAAACCAAAGATCGCGAGTTCAAGTCTCCGTGGGGCCTCCCGTCCCTTTCCTGGTCTTCTAAAACTCTTCTCTTCCTTACCCTTAACCAAGCCTGAGGACATTTGGCTAATTATAGGTTCTCGCCACAGTCTACACTTCCCGAATAAACACCCACGGAGCCCAACCCGCTTCCTTTTAGATTCCACTACCAGTGCGCAAGTGCTGCTTTGCGGCCTGGAACGCGGCCAACCTCCGCGGGCGCCCTGGGTGTGCGCACCCGCGGCGAGAGCTCTGCTGGCTGCTGGAACCAGTGCTCCGAGCCTGCAGCGCCCGAGCGGGCAATTACGGCTGCCAGGGGAGACAGTGGGGTCAAACTCTTAAGGACTGGCTCTGGGCCGATTTGGAGTCGAGAAGGTACCCCCTCCCTAAAGCGGAAGGGCCGGCGACAGCCTTTCTGGCCAGGCGTCCAGGAGATGTACGCTGTCCGGTGAGGTTTCGGGTTTCGGTAGAGTTTTAAGGGCCCGCACTTTGGCGAGACTTGGGTCACTAAATTTAATATTGACTCAAAAAAATTGTGGCTTCCTGTCTGAATCAACTAAAAACATTTTCTCGAAAAGCGAATTCTCTCAGGAACATTGCGTTTACCCATACGTATTACACCCCACATTTTCTCCCTCCCCCGAGCCTGCGGACGTGGAAGCGGAAGAGCGATGCAGCTCGCCCGCGCCCACGCGTCCGAATTGGCAGGCGAGCGCAGGAAGGGAGAGAGGAGGTAATCCCAGGCTTGAGCCCAAGCCCGCCCCTCTCCCCGGCCCGCATTGCACGGTCAAAATGGTGTTTCCCACCGCTTCGACTCCATTCTCCACCGGTTGGGTGCCCGTCCCCCTGCCCGCCATCCGCACACAGCCATGCCCTGGAGCCCCGGGCCAGCGCGGTCAGTGAGGCCAACAGTCTCGGGCGAGCAGAGGATGTGCGGCCTTGGGATGCACGGGCTCTAGGGGCACGCGTTGGCTCTGCTTGGAAGCCCCTCAGCGAAGCGGGAGCATCCACTCTAAAAGGGTTGTCTCCAGAGCTCTGGACGCAAGAGTTTCTCATAAGCTGGCTTTGCGACTCCGCGGTGTCCACTCGCCAGAAATCGAAGGGTGTTTTCTTTCCTGTCTCTGCGTGTGAATATCCTGAATTGGGTGTGCAGAGAAAGATTTCCCGTGCTCCCTTCGATAGCTCAGCTGGTAGAGCGGAGGACTGTAGTACGGTTCTGTGTAGTCATCCTTAGGTCGCTGGTTCGATTCCGGCTCGAAGGAGGAGCTGCTGTTTTGGGGCTTCTAGCCAGCCGGTTAGTTAGTCTCCTATTTCTTGGGTAGTTCCCTGTGTTGCGATTTCTGAAATAATAAAAAATAAGAAAAAAGTTGGCTCAGTCACCAGAAGTTGAGTTTCGCTTACCACACTTTGAGAAATTGGCTCTATTGGGCGCATTACTGGAACAGAGAGGGAAGGTCAGGGCCGACTCTTCCAAACAAACGTAAAGGTTGTGAGTTACTTTCCCAGAGGTGTGTTTAATTTGGTTATTTACATGGTTCTACAAAAAAGTTTTGAGCTGAGACAGAAAGGAGGAGTAGGATCTGACGTGAGTTGGGATGAGACTGGAAGAGTGAATTCCAGAGGAAGGACATAATTAAGCAGAGGGGGGGATGGAAAACTTGATTCCTATTCAGGGAGACTACGAGAGGTCTACGATATGCAAACACGCGCCAAACTGGTTCCCCTCCCACCTATTTGTTCACCCTCAACCGACTCCAGCCCTCCGTATTTTGATGCCCACCAGTCCTGCCTCTAAGATTTTATGCTCGTGCCGAGCTAGTGGCAGGCCGGCACATACATGTCCCGCGCGTCTGTCCCGGGGCTCAGGGCCCAGCAGCCTTGCAACCGAGCTCCGCTCCAGCCCTCGAGCTCCAACTCGGCACCCTGCAGGCTCCATCCAGGCTCGACCCTAATGCGCTCGATGGGACTCAACCGTGTGACCTGAAGTCTGGAATGTTGCCTCCCGTGGTCACCCCACTCTGCGTCTGGAGGGGTCCAGGACGTGGATCGGAAAGACAAGCGTGCCTAGGGTTAGAGACAGACGTGAAACCTGGTAAAAACGGGAGGAAGAGCTAAAGCGAAAAGGATATGTCACAATCACAGCTGAGAAGAAAGAATATTCTCAACTTGCTTGACTTGCCAATTACTGGCGGAAAAGTAAAGTTTAGTAAGGATATAGCCTCCTTTTGGGCCGGCGGCTCGTTGGTCTAGGGGCATGATTCTCGCTTTGGGTGCGAGAGGTCCCGGGTTCAAATCCCGGACGAGCCCTGTGTTTTGAAGAAAAATTATTTCCCTTTTGGCAACTACTGTAATAAGTTAAGTTCTGCACAACCTCCCTGTGTTCGGACTATCCTGCAAAAGAGAGCAGCATTGAACGAACACAGGGCAAATGGGGCCAGTGACAAGTGTTGGGACAACCCCCTGGGACAGTGAGCCAGGGGTCGCGTGAAAGGGTGCCTCGCTGTTGGGAGCAGGGCTTATTTCCCGCCGTCTGCTCTCCCCAGAGGCCGTGTCCTCGCGCGTTCGGGCTGGGGCAGGGCGCGGATCCCCGGGCTCGCTCCGTGCCTGGGTGGGGGTTGCTGTGGCGTCTGCTCCAGAGGCGGATCCTGGCGGGAGTGGCCTCCTCGGAGAAAGAGGGCGCGGTCCCTACCACACCGAGGCAGGAACGTCGACTCCCCTCTCACTGCACACACACACACACGCCGACCCCGCGCAGATCCAGAGCAAGATTCAAAGGAACATCTTTACGTCCTCTACCAGCTCCCCCGCATCGTACTAAGGAGGAAGAGCGGTGAGAAAACTTTTCTCCACTGTCCTTCGCGTTTCTGCCGCCTTGTCCCGAGGCCTAGGTGGGTTCCCCCTCCTGCTCCTCCCGCTCCTTTTTGGTGGCTTCGTGGTAGCTTGACAGCCTATGGGCCGGGGAGTGTCTTCCTAGCAGAGGCAGTGGGGGCTCCTCGGGGCGTTTGTGGGACCGGACTGGAGGAGCTGAGGCATGGGGAGGGACATACAAATCCTGTTCTCGTACGAGTTAGCCATTCTACATTCCCACCCCGATTTTTACTTTCCGCAGTTAGGCAGAGATGCCAGCGCGAATGCCCTGTTGGCTAGAACCTAGGCCAGAGGGGACCACAGAATCAGTGAACCGAGGCAAGGCCTGGGGAGGCCTGCACTTGCTCAAAACTAGGGAAAACTGCTTGGTATTCAGGTTGATCACCAGATTTGTGAAGCAGACTTTGTCCAGTTTTTGCAAGCGTAATTAACATTTGGGGAATGGTGTTTTCGTTTTCTGTTTACTTTCTTTTGTCTCCACACCCTTACCCCACCCTCATCCAGTGTTGTGAAATTCTTGGAGACACTTGCCAACAGCCTCTTCTCTTAGCCTTACTGGAACTTTGAGATCTTCCGTTTTTTTTGTTTTTTTGTTTTTTTTTTTTTGCTCTGGGACAGCACTTCAAATGGTAACAGAACATGGGAAAACAGAACATCTTTATTTAGGAAGGACAGTAAGAACAATTTTAGTACCCCTCTGGGAAATCTCGAATGAATCAAGACCCTCCCTCTGTGGCAATAAGAATCTTATAATCAAGTCATAAATATAATCACTTTTACAAATGACATAATTATCGGAACAAGCACATAGCCAACTTCCCAAAAGCAGTCTCAGGTATTCAAAGAGCTACTTAACCAAACAGCTACTAATTAGTTAGTGCAGAAGGATAGTTTTTTTTACAGACCCTTTAATTCAAACAACTCTTTTACAGATAAGAAGGTAGTCACATATTTTTGGAATTTACAGAAATATTCATTGTAGGTTTCCTTTAAATAACAACTTTCAGTGACACTTTTAAAATTAGCTTTGATTTTCTAGAAATTACTAGTATGGAATATAAAAGCTGTGTGGTGCATTGGAAAGCTCTAGTCCC